ATTTCCTCCTAACTTTTTCTTATTTCGATATTTCGTGAAATATCATTTGGAAGGAGTATTGAAGTATTTAGCGGAAATAATTTAAAGCTTCTTTATACTTCAAGTCCGGGGAAGATCTAAGAATTATTCATTACAGATCACGATGAACAAAATTCTGACCAATCCTGTAAATTTTTATTCTGTTGAAGCTTTGTGGTATAAAATCAGTAGCGATGAAGAAATAAATTCGAACATACTGGGAAAACATAGTTTTTGGAATATCGGCAACAATGGCTTCACTATGTTTCACATAGTATTCCAACAAAAACTGTCATATCAAATTTTTGCATTTAAATTGCAATTAGTAAGCAGTATGTCAATATTACTTCTCATTATGAAGATGTGCTTCTTCAGATTCTTCACTTAAACATAGTGGCATTATCACTAGTCTTCCAGATGTTCTCGCTCCATTTACCAGAAGAAGGCATTTATTGAATTACTTGGCATCATATGAAATTTTCTTTATTCACAGTTAACTAATGATGTTAAATGCTAGCTTGTCATTTCATTATTGAAAGTCATTACTTCTAATGAATTGTCACTTATTAATAGACATGACATTCGTAGCTGCATAGTTTACAATAATTGCTTAGACCAAAAAAAAACGATATTATGCACAAAACGATCCTCGATTTTAAGCCGAATATAAATGAGAGCCTTAAAAAGAAAAAAAAGGCTAAACTCTGTCGTCAGGGCGAAAAACTATATTATGTAAATTAGAATTTATGAGATATAATTGTATTCTTTCCTTTGTTCTCAGGTAATTTCTGGCTCAAATTTTCATTTTGAACTATTTTTGAAGTAGCATTCACCTTCCCAACCTGTGCTCATATTATAATTAAAATGAAACAACTCGTGTAAGATGGTGACAACAGATGTAATGAAATACTTGTCAGTAAAACTATTAGTTACACTAGTATTGTACTGAGATATGCATCAATATAACAGAAACAGCATGATCATTATGCGCATAGTTTTCGATTCTTCGGGAGATGGCTGTCTTCCCTACCTCACAACATTGAAATGAAATGTCTATTACGCGAGATAAATCTCATCTACAAAAATGAATAATTCACACTAGTCTCAATTCACAGAATCAATGCAGTAGCTCTGTAACAAAGGGATATTATACATATCCTATTCACAGTAACTAAAGTGCACTACTTCGATAGTAATGAATAATTGAAGTAAATTTTTTTGCCTCTATTTCATAATTACAGAGCGTCGCCGTTAGAAGCATAATGTATAATGTAAACCGTTTTATGTAATAAATAACTATTAAATCATTTTTATTTGTTTATTTTCGAATTCATCGTATAAAACTGATGCTTCATTCATATGCCAATTCAAGATTGACAAGTAACACATACTAAAAAGAACCCCTATATGTACATATAGTATTTTTAGATTAAAATGAAAAAGAAAACAATTCATAAAGTATTACTTTCAATTTCGAAAATTCTTCAATATATTTATAAAACGATAGTTTTTTATTCTGCTCACTGATTGCTTTATTTTATTTCTTAACAATAAGTGTATCTCTAAAAGAATAATTCAATGTGAAAAAAGTCTCAAATTTATATCCGTGTCTTTGATTAGTGATTTATTCCTCAAGAGTTTGATATGAACTGATTTAATCAAAAAATTAGATAAACTGTATATTGAAACCGAAGAGATATGTAAAAGTATCAGTACTGTGAATCTAACGATTCATAACTAATTAGATATTATTTTTTAACTTGCTATATCAATAGTGAATATATTAAGGAACTTAATGAATAGATATATATTTTGTATGATTTTGTCATATATGCTTCTTCTGAAAGTATTTTTGAATTCCACCATAGCTTTTTATAAACAATTTAGCTAAGCTCACCTGATGGTTCTTTTCTAATGCTTAACTCAATCGTAGACTTGATAAGTTCTTCTAGTGCTATATGATCAAAAATAAATTGATACCTGCTGAAATTTTGGTTTTACTTGAATGAATTTCAGCATTGGGATAGATATAGTAGAACAAGGACATTGAAGTGTATCAGGATACTGCTCCAATAGAGATTCGAACATAGAATAAGAAGTGAGTTTTACATTAATCATCGTCGTCTCGCTTCCCAAACTGGTATAAATAAGCAGAATAAGTATATTTGTAATGAAGAGAACAACGTAAATCCAGGTTGAACATCGTTCAATTTGAATTGATTCTACATCGCTAGATTCATTATCGAAAAGATTGAAACTATAGAACCAACATTTAATACGATTTTGTAACATTGTCATATTAGTTAGTTAGTTTATCAAAACACTTTGTGAATAAACTCTAAAATTTTTTCAACAGGATGGAATGCAGCTGTCACCTAGCAAGCAATATTCTTTTGCGCACATACATTTCGGAAAGTATTATTCCAAATTTAAAAAATGAGCTAGTGACGTACAAAATAACTTTAATTCAAACTGTTGCAAAAAAAATTATATTATTTTTTTTACTATGGTAATGACAAGAGTATTTCATGCCATTAGTATGATAGTATATTATGGTTACACAGTAAAAATGAATCTTTGGACAACAAATTAAAGTGATCATGATGAATATGAAATTGGATTGTTATCTTGTTGGTTTTGTAAAACCTGTTTCATTGCAATAGCAAATTTATCTCGTACAAAGTCACACAGAATTAGATGGGGTCATTTATTACTGAGTATGGAGATATCAGTAATGATGACAGTGCAGGTTACATATAAATGCTGTTTGCCACAACATATGTTCATCATCACTATTTTTATTATTGTAAAAATAGAGGATATATTTCTACTTTATTGAAGAACCTTCTAGGATTGATTAAGGTGAGTTTGAATCATTCAAGATTGTTATGTGACAAAATTAGTTGTATGTTGTTGTTTCCCTACAGAACATCTTTTTTTTTGTTCTTATAACGCATGAATAATTCGTTCTCTATTTCTTTCATTTCTTTCTTTGCTTTCTCCTGCTCGTTTTATTGTTCTGCTTGTTCCTACTGTATAGATGTGTTTTTCTTTTAATCATTACTAATGCAGATAGATCTCTCATTGACAAAAATCATTTTATTAATGAGTCAATGTAAAGCACACATTCTGTGTAGGAAATAGACGTACGTACGAAGCAAAAAAGAATTTCAAAAAATTATGTTGAAAAAACATTTTACATCTTTCGATAGACATTGAAACAGCTAGTGAACTGTGGAAAATTCTTTTATAGTCGTACTCATGTAATTTGTGCACTAAAGACTCAAATAATCAGCGTGCAGATTATTTGTAAGATTCTAAGAAATCAGAAAAGACCAATAATACCTTGATAGTCATCGTTTTGTGGTGTGTTCGTGTAAAGTTATCACGATACGTAAGGTATTTCGATGCTACTGATTTAATTTATCAAATGGTAATAATAAATATGGAGCTGAAATTCAAAGTATCATACGAAGTTTCGTTCTTACTTAAAGGGCTCATCAAGCATGTTTTTTTATGATTTATAGATTGAAAGAATCAATGTGACGGCTTGAGTTTAATTGTTTTATTTTTATTTTTTGGTTGAAAGATGATATTATAGCTATTGGTTCGGGCTAGTTACAGTTGCTGTCTAATTTTTATTTTTGTTTTTGTATTTAGCTATATAATTTGTTATTTTTATCTGAAATAATAGAAAAGTTTTATCTGATTTCGTGCTGCGTATTTCTAAATAAAACACTTTTGAAACGTATGTGCTTCTATTTTTAATGCTTTGATTAGAATAGTTAGTAACAATAGTTCATTGTACCACTCTTCGTCAATAAGATTTTTGCAAAATAGACTTTCGACAGTATGCCCACTGTACTTTTGCCAATTGGTGAATGCCTATCGAATACTCGCCTATGAGGAGTCTATGAACTTGCGCCTATTTTAATTCAACATTGACATCAATCAGAGAGATTAATATCGCATGCATAATAACTATACATATGGATGTGTATGTGAGTAATATTATAAATTGCGTATATGTAACTTTTTTTCTTGTTCTGTATTAAATAGTGAAACAGGAGCGAACTTTGACCAATTCGCCTATTGGATACTCGTCAATCGGTGAAAGTGTTTTTAGCAAAGAGCGGAATTCCCGGCTAAGAGGGTAATGAGTGGGTGAGAAAAGCTCGGGAAATGAATATGGGTAGGGTGTGGGTGTGTGGGTGTGAGTGTGGGTGTGGGTGGGTGTGGGTGTGGGTGTGGGTGGGTGTGGGTGGGTGTGGGTGTGGGATGTCGCTGGGTGTGGGTGTGGGTGTAGAGTGTCTGGAATTCATTCATAATAACAACCACACCCACACCCACACCCTTTATGAAGACTTCATAGAAACTAAATTAAAAGATTATTTTTAAATGAATGTTGTGGCAACAGAAAAAATGATTTTCAAATTTCGAATTGATAGTGTGTCTTGCAGATCGCTCACGTCAACTAGATGATTTAATATTCGAATTTCAAGATAGAACCGAATCAAAAGATCTGACACTTTCACAATAAACTACTCTTGTTAAGACCGTCGATATTCGTAAAATCAGTTTTTCTGTTACTATGACATTCTTATATTGAAATTTTCCTTCTCTAGGAAAGACCCTTCCAGAAACCTTAATTATAAGATTTCCATCTAAAGTTTTATCTCTAGACAAGTTTCAGACACAATACAACATCCTAAAGGTTTTAGCTTAACCAATAAACAAAGCAGATTAATAATTGAAATTTTCTTTACAATAAATATTTACTAGTAAAAAGAAGTTACCTCTTGTGTACATTGAATGTTGATTTAAAATAATTAAGTGTTTCTCTTCCAATTTTTTTTGATAAATCTTATGTAGAAATATGACTTAAAACTGATTTCATAGACGATAATGATCATTTCTGATGAATTCAATAAAATTTTATGTATTTCATAAGATGAACGTATTAATTCGAATAATTTCATCATTCATGGATTATTTCCAAAAGTACCTAATTGTGTACGATTAACTTTTTTATTTTTGTCTGTGTTTGATGTTGTTGATGTATCTTTATCATTCCCTTTAAAAAGAAAAAACAAACGAATTCGTTCAGACGAAACATGATCAAATATATTCTTCACATCTAACACTTTGGAACTCCTGTCATCCGTAAAAACTAGAATATCAACTATAGAAAACTATCTTCTGTCCAAAAGAATGATGATTGTGAATATTTTTGCAATAGTTCGAGAACGGTAATAAAATAGTTCAATTTTCGAATTACTTGAATCATTTGTGCTACTTTCAAAACATTTGTTCATTTGTTGAGATTTGATAAATCTTCAAATAAAAAGAAATAATTCAAAAAAAACATAATAAATATCTTTTTTTTTCTCTTTACTTGAAAAGATTAAATTATTAAGATCATGTGTAATATAAAGGGATGTTTAAAAAAAAATTATAAATAAACGAAGTTCATCATATTGATTATGAAAAAATTGGTCGAATTGTTGTTGGTCTTAAAACATTTGAAAGAACGTAAATATCTTCTAAACATCCAACCTATATAAAAGACAAACATAACAAACAATTTGTATTCGAGTTGATGCTTGAGCTTGTAATGAATGATGAATTTTATATATCCATTGACATGGTAAAAATGAATTGTGATCAACAAAACCTTAAAATCAAAAAGTAGCTAATAACTAACTTAATGCAATAAATCGACTTATGCATTTAAATTCGAAAAAAAAACTACCTAGTTAACATCTCTACAAAATACATACTTAGCCAAAGTCGAAGCAGTTGCTTGACGAACACGTATATCAGAATACTGTTGTTTTAATTGTTGTTGTTGTTATTCAAGATAAGTTAATATTCGAAAATTAATGTCATCTATAAGTTGAACTAGAGCAAACTATTTTATATAGATACAAAAAAAAATTATTATAATCATATTTTTGTTTTATCTACTTTAGCAAGAACATAGGAACTTGTACTATGTTGAATAGAATCTTTTAATAATTCAATTCCTATGATTGTAAATGCATTTAATGATACATGTATAACACGTGCATTATTATCATTAAGACATACAACCTTGAACTGTCTTGTGAATCAGTTGATACAAGAGAACATTGATTAATAAAAGAATTAATAAATGAATTTGATAATGACGATAGTGTTAAAAGATGAATTGTTGTTTTAATTAATGTAACAAGTAAATTTGCACATGCACCACGTAAATGTAGATCACCGTGTTCACATAAAGATAAAAGATATGTAATATCTTAAAGAAAAGAAAAAAAAAGATATCTTGATGTTCAATAAATTTTAACGTATTACAAAATCATATAGAGCTGAGAATTTCATTTTTCTCATTAGAAAATTCTATTTCAATTACAAAATTATTTCTAATCAGAAATCTTCAAAGACTAATGAAAAATTCCTTAGAGGATACAGTTGATTTCATATCTTGAACTTCGGCTTAGTACTTTTTTGAGATAGTTGTGTGATTGTATAATTTCAATCTCTGATGTATAAATACAGACTTTGAGCTTCAATAAAGTGTTCTATTTGATATCGTTTCAAGTCTGATAATGTTCTAGGCTTTTGTTAGTTTCAAAAAAATTAAAAGTAGGAATAGGACTAGAGCTGCTGAATCAATATCGAGAAATCTCCCTTCTTGAATTTTCATATTCCAATATATATATGTTTTATATCGTTTTGGTTCTAAAATTTAATAGTGAAATTATCATATCTATCAGATAACTTTCACTAAAACTTTGAGACTTTGAGACTTTAACCAATTGAAGCGACGTTAATTAAACTCTGCCACAATCCCCTTCACCTAAGCCCTTCTACTGTTACGACATTAGAAATAATTTTGGATTATAAAATAGATCTATTTTACTGAAGTGAAACTTTACAAAAAAGAATCTCAAACAAGAATTAAACATACTTTCAGTAGGATAATCAAATCGACCAAATTGTTGATAAATATGATAGACATATTGGTATAGCATATTTAACACTAATACGTGATTCATCATCACCTTTTATCGTATCATCCATATTTAGTATATATCTAATCGGAAACAAATATAATTGATTAACAAGTTTAGCAGCTGATGTTCGTTTTTCATTATTAATCATTGATGTTGAATCGAATTCATCATTCATTTCAATAAATCAACGTTGATATGTTGAATAAGCTATTGTTTTAGAAAAACAAAAAAAATGAAAAAAAAAATTCTTGTTTTTTTTTCTCGATATTTACCTGTGTTTAATGCTTGACTAACACCAATTTCTTCTATAGATCCAATTTGGGTTGAAATTAATAATTGACCAAAATCAAATAAATTTGAATATTTGAGTATAATTTCAAGTGTTTCCAATGAACTTGATACAACACTATGATCATTATGTCGTAAACAAGTACAACACACCATATCAACATTAAAGAAAGATTTATATTGAAAATAAAATCATTCATTATTTGTCGAATACTGATTGAAAGATGTTGTTGATTTGTATCAATATTTTTACTTCTATTTATTGATTGTTGATTATTGCTTGATTATGATTGAAATTCTTAGATATTTAAACCAAGTAATTGAGGGTGTCAATGGGGGTGTGTAGGGATAAGCAATCCAAACACTCACACCCACCTCTCAAAATGCCTGAGTTTTCTTAAAGCACATTCGCCATACTTTCTTCGGATGCATCTAACGAACTTTGAGTGGTAGAGTTTTTCATACATCGAACGATAAAATAAAAAATATAAAATTTTTCATTTATTTATTTTGAAGCTTTCAACACTACTTTATAATTATCAATTTCTAAAAAAAAATTTAGGATAGAAAATATTTATATATATTAGAATAAAGTTCAAAGCCTAATGAAGCATCATAACTCAAATTTACGCTTATACAAGTATCAGTATATATTTTATCATTGCAACAACACGAAACGCAAAGGTAAGGTAAAAAAAGAAGAAGTAGAATATATGAAAAACGAAACGTATTTTATGACGAACACATGGTCGAAAAAGTCGTTTACATGATGAAATAGTCATCCTTCATTGATTCATGTAAATATACGTTTGTGGGAAAAAAACTAAGTAATTTTGTCAATGATAAATAC